AGTATGAGAACTTGGCAAAGGAGAAGGAATAGGGCAGAAAATTGGTGGATTTATTGATGATCCCAATGCCCTTCACAGGTAGCTCTGCCTGAGTGGTGTTTTCAACTTTAACCCATATTTTCATAAACATATGTAAAACTATCTTTATAAATAAGCTTATATTATTTTTATGATTGTATGGCACTATTTTAAGTATTGGAACATCAGTGTCACTTTCAATGTCAAATAAGTCTAACTCTTGGTATAATGCACAAATTACTCTTTTAACAGAGAAACACTTTTAGGTTTCTGCTTGAACTCTCCACGCATCACAGAACCTACTATGTCACTGGGCAGCCCTTCCATTTTAATATCGTAATACTAAAGCAGAAGGAGTGCTGGTGGCTTAGTGGATGACAAGTTGGGCTGGGGATAGGAAGGTGAGCAGTTTGAAACTACCAGCCACTCAGTGGGAGAACAAGTGAGGCTTTCTACTCCATGAAAGAGAGTTTTGGAAACCCACACAGGAGTTCTACTCGGCCCTAGAGAGTCACTGTGAGTTGGAATCTACTTGATAGCAGGGAATGAGTAAGTGAGTGAATTATAATAGAAATAAATTCTTGCTTTAACGTCAATCAAAAGTCTGCATTCCTACAACTTTCCTGAAATTATTATGCAGGCATGTCTGCAAGAGCCATGTCTTAACAAACATTTCCAAGCTGGTTCTTGGACCGTATAAAAGGCTGCAATGTGTATCTGCCTTTCTGGGTGAGCTGGCTACACACTCACCCACAGAGCTAAGATTTTACCTGCACCACTGAACACAGGCACACAATTTTGAAAACTTTTCCTTAAAATTTTTCTCTTTTCCAAAATATAAAACAAACATGCATCTCAGGCAAAAATTGTGTTCGATCATTTTTTTAAAATCACGTAATCATCACTGGGTCCAGCTAGGTTGGAGCAGAATGAATTCTCATGTGTCTTCACATAGGAGAACTGGGCTCGGTACTCTTCAATACCTTCATAGTCTGGCCGGTGATCACATCCAATCACAGGGCTACTTTGTAGTCATCTAGGCTTGGGTACTGAACAGCCATTTTACAGCATCCGCTGAGTTATGAATGTTTGCTTAACAGGCAGATTTGTCACGCTCTACTCTCAGAGCTCCATTTCAATGTCATTGAATCAATTTCGAGTCATAGTCAATAAATGTGTCCCTTTAGCCATCATTTCTTATGTGATACATTATAATTCTAGACTCTAGATGCCTGTGGCTATTGTCCCTTTTGGAGGGCGGGCTCTACTATGCTAATAAACAAGATTGGGTGGGATTAAGACCTGATTTTAGCAGAGGTCTGAACCAAGCCACACCCTTTGTTTCCTTTGGGGCATCTTCAAGACTCTACCTTAGTAGCAAGTGTGATTTTAGAGACCATCCATTGTTTTCCTTGAAGAGGCTGTATTTGCCGGTACCACCGTACACTTCTGACACACATCACAGCACCTGGAAAGCCATATCTCTGTTTCCTGACTGAGCCTTACTAGAGGCAAGACCTGCTGTGACTTTTGAAAATTTTCAGCCTCTGGCTTTGGATCCTGTGTTTTGCTCGGCTCTGTCTGATATTTAGATTTTGGAGTGAACAATACCCACCATCATGTGAGATATTTCCTCCAAGTTTCTGAAGTTCATGTGGGGCATTACAGCAAATTGCACAACCCAGGGAAGCAAGGGGATATATTTATGAGGAGAGTTGGGGAAAATGGAGCAGAGTAGCATCTTGGAAGAGTTGGATTTGGGGGATATCTTTAAACTCCAACACCTTGGCCCCCATTTAGCATTAATTCTTCTAAAAGAAATTATTATCACAGTGACCCTATCAGGTAAGGTAGAGCTACCCCTTTGGGCTTCTGAGACTCTTAAGTCTTGTAGACTGCTTCTTCCTCTCTTGGACTGGCTGGTGGACTCAAACAGCAGACCTCATGTTTAGCTTCAGTTGGAGCCCACTACAGCACCAGAGCTCCTTAGAGAGACATGAGGCCCAGGAAATTGCATTTCCTGTAGTGCTGAAATTATTTCGATGCAAGCAATCTGGAGATCACAATGTAAGAAAAAACCCCAAAGGCCACGTCATGATGCAAGTTCATTCACTTTTACTTCAACAAGAGAATTGCAAGAGTGGGGGGGGGGTGACTTTTTGGTCTCATTTATGACTTTTCAAATATGCCTCCTGAGAACATTTAAACAGTCACCAGAGTTTTTTGTTTGTTTTGCTTTATTATTTCCAAGAAATCTCCATACTTTTCAACTGCTTCTGTTTTTACTTGTGGTCATTATATTGTGAGTTCAGATCTCAAAACTCCGACCCCACCAAGTATTGACCCCCAAGTAATACACATGCATACCATATGGATGACATATGTCTAATCAAGGAAATGAGTAGACCTTGATCAGACATAGGAAGTACTGTATATACTTGAGTGTAAGCCTAGCTTTCAGCACATTTTTTAATGCAGTTTTTGTGGTAAAATTAGGTGCCTCGGCTGATATTTGGGTCAGCTTATACTCAAGTATATATGGTATGTTCTTATGTAAGAATAAGAGAAGAATACAGTGGGGCCGGGAAGAAAAGGGGATGGAGGTCAGTGGCTGAGGAGAATCCTTCTCCCTACTCCCCATTCCCTTTCTTCTACCCTTTCCCCTCATCCTCCACCCCAGCTCCCAGCTCAGTTGGCCACTTCACTCCCCTCTTCCCAGACAAACAACTTAGTTCTCTTATGTTCTCAAACTCCAACCTAGCTCACTGTCATTGGGTCTGTCCTAATTCATAGCAACCCTATATCACAGGGTAGAACTTCTCCTTGGGGTTTCCATGTTTCTGAGACGATAATTCTTTATGACAGTAGAGTCCCTCACTTCTCCCAAAGAGCAGCTGGTGTTTGTGAATGGCTCACTTTACAATTAGCAGCCGAATGCATAACCATGACACCGCCAGGGCTCTAGGTTTGAGTACGAGGATATCTCTGGTGAGTGGGAGCTGGACTTGCTTGGCGAGCTCTAGCATTGCCAGAACTTTCAATGGATGGGCCGTCATACTCACTGCCATTGAGTCAATCCCAATTCCTATGAACCCTAAGCACAGGATAGAACTGGCCCTGAGGGTTTCTGAGACTTTAACTATGCATAGGAATAGATCCCCTGAAGGCTTTCTCCCATCTTCAGTGATAGGTAAGTGCTAATCGTTAAGGGATATCTTGTCTACCTAGCTCTGTTTCTGTTCAGAATGACTTCTCCCAGTTTCCTGGCAAGGGACGTCCTTCCACAAACACTGTTGGGATGGGGCGATACATGTGATCTGAAGCCAGGCAAGCACAGCCTTGGATTCAGACTTAATTTTCAGTATTTTGTTCATCATGGTGTTTTTTGGCTTTAACTTTGATTTTTTAAAAAACAATTAATTATTTTGACTGTTTGGGGGCAGCCCCTTGGATTTTGCTTTTTAGGTCAGTTCCTCACTCATCCCATCAAGTCATGACCCTGGGGACTGGTCAAAGGCCAAAAGTCATATTGCTAATCATCTTATGATATAATTACATGTCTTTACATATAACTTGATCTCATTACCTCTACTAAGACATCAACCATCATTACTAACTTCCACAATCTCTTCCAAGAGTTTAGAGAGATCTGCTATAACTCCAAATGCTATAGACCCGTGCCATTTACTCATTGTCTCGTTGTCTGTCTGTCGGTTTGCACAGCTTAGGTGTTGCTGTGATACTGGAAGGTATTTCACTAGTATTTTAAACATCAGCAGGGTTTTCCATGGTGGGCAGGTATCAGCAGAGCTTCCAGATTTAGACAGATTAGGAAGAAAGGCTTCCCAATCTACTTCTGAAAATAGCCAATGGAAAACCCATGGACCAGAACAGAACTTTGTCCAACTGTCTTTGAACATGTCTTCAATCCTTAAACAAGGAACAAGGAATCAATCCATAAAGGAAGGCATCTTGTCTGATGAAGGAGAGAGGCAACGAGGGCACAAGAAATGCTAGGTAAGCTAGCTTGGGACAATAGCAGCAAGGATGGGTTTGGACATGCTGTGAACATCATACAGTACTGATCGATATTTCATTTGCTTGTCATCATGTGTCAATAGCAGCTAACACCAACAAAAATAGAATTGATGGATTGGTCACATCATTAATCAGTAGCAACGTGGAAATGGAACTCAACTCTATATTTTACAAGTAATAGTTTCTTACATATCAATACAATCTTACATATCAATAATCTTATTTTTAAATTTAGGTATCTGATATTTAATATTCATCAGTAGTAAGTAAAGAGTTACAGTCTCAGAAACTCACTGGGGCAGTTGTACCCTACAATAGGATTGCTATGAGTCAGCAGTGATTTGATGGCAATGAGTTTGGTTTTGGTTTTATTAAGCAACAGTCTTCAAAGAAAGTTCTACCATCTTCTATTCAAGCTTTAATTACAGGGAAGAAAACAATATCTCTTATAGGCAACACACTAAATATGTATTTTAAAAACCTTACATTTTCGAGGCACCTGCTAGGTACTACAAGATGTATGGAGATGAGTAACACAGAATTCTTGCTTTAATGGAGCTAATATATGAAATTGGTAACCACCTTGACCATGGTGAATGGAAAATTTTACTGAATGAGAAATACTGTATTAAGTCACCATCTTCTACAACCTTTTGAAGTGCATAATGAGCTCTCCATAAAATTGAAACTCTAGTAACATTAACTGGTATAGTAAGATAGGGCATGGAGAGAGAGAAAAAAAACACCTTAATCTGTGAAAATAGTATGCTAATAATTGGTATTTTTTTACAATTCATGCTTGTTTTTTTTGATCTGAAAGTAGAAGCAAATAATTTGTAGTTATAGTTACGGTAAAACGTAGCATGACCTCAGCACACCTATCGATATCTAGCTAGTTCTTAAGCACCTTTAGTCACTATTTTGTAGAGGAGAGATTTCCTTACTTTTGGTCTCACCATTCATCTCTTCAAGTTCACTGCAGATTCCAACATCTATGGAATTTATAATCTTATCGATCTGCAAGAAGCAAAAGTGATAGAAATGAATTATTATATTCAGTTTTCACATTTAAAAAGAATTCCAAATGAAAGGTGTATTTATTCTTGGTATTATTACCACAGCAAGATCACCAGTAGGAGCCTGACAGAGAAAGGATTCAAGGGAGGCAGGTATCTTATTAATTGCTTTTTACAATATACATTATATTCTCCTTTCCACGTATTTCAAATTCAGCTTTCCTTTTGTACTTTGTAAAATGAGCTTTGTCTGTGTGTACCCATGATAGATCAGTAATGCAGGAGTTACATGTTCCTTCATCTCAGCGGGGCCAGGGTGAAGAGTGAGTTCATGTAATGATGCCATGCTCACGTGCATTCCCCTCTCTGCATCTTGTTTGATTGGTGAGGGGCTGGGGTCAGTCTGTGGACATGGCCATTGAAAGCAAGTTCTATACATGTGGCTAAACCAGTTGTAAGGTGATTTGTAGCATCAATAACAATAAACTAGACCTGGAATCAACATAATTCATTAATTGATTAAAAACGAATTGCTCCTACCTCATTCCAAAAATTAATATTTCTGATATTAATTGAAGAATTAATAAATACAAGAAATGCATAGACTCAAAAAATACACCACCCATCTAATAGCATGGACCTTTTAGAACAGTGGCTCTCAACCTTTCTAGTGCCATGACCCTTTAATTCAGTTCCTCATGTTGTGGTGACCCCCCCAACCATAAAATTATTTTTGTTGCTACTTCATAACTGTAATTTTGTTAGCTATGAATCGAGCAACCCTTGTGAAAGGGTTGTTCAACCCGCAAATGGGTCGTGGACCCACAGGTTGAGAACGGCTGTTTTAGAAGGATAAGACTTCCTAAATAACAGCCACTTAGAGTTTCATCTCCCTCTTTGTCATCACAGTGACCTTAATCAGACGACAGGTTTCTGAAGGGGAAAGGAGCCTCACATGAATGTCCCATTTTGTTTACCCGAAAAATGTGCAGAGCAATCGAGAGATTTCTCAAGCAGCTCAGTGCAGAGTGTCCAAATCAGAATTATTTCCATTTTTCATTCTCAGAGTACTATAGTGACCTTAAATGGCACAATCTCTTGAGATCCAAAGTGAGCTATAAAGTTAGAATAAAAGACCAAGGGAGAGTGTGGTCCATTCTTTGAAGGAACCCATTGAAAAAGTAAGACATTCTATTATTTTATGATTTGGTGCTCCATAGAGGCAAAGGATAAGATTTCATAACATTATAAGGGTGTTGCTTATAAAGATGTTGGCTTTAAGTAGAGCTTAACTTGATGACAATGGACCCTGACAAATTTTCACTTAGTGGTTTTCTGATTGATGTAAAAGGAAGTACTATATTAAGTGATACATGTTCATTGGGTGGTGCTTGGAGAGGAGCCAGGATTACTCCGTTTACCAGTAAGGATTTGATTATAAGGAGCTCTTCCGAAAACATCCAATACTTTAGAGAGGGAAGACAAGCTAATATAGAGTTTAGCAAGTAGCAAAATGACACAGAGCAGAAAAAATACAAAGCTCTTTCTCCATTTGTCAGCTTCAGTGCTTGGTAGGACATAATGTGAACATTCTCCAGCACCTCATAGCTAGTTATTACTTCTGCTTGATATCAATTTCTATGGAAACAATAGATTTCCCTACATGTGTGGAACTGTGTTTGTTCTATTACACTCGCTGTGAAATTATCATGCATTACCCCAGAACCTTTCCGTTCCACTTGGAGCAATATCCATTAAAGCTATTTCTGCCTCAGGCAGACTTAAAAAGCCAAAAATCCTTCCTCCAACCACCCCTCCCCCCACCACCCCTTGATTCTATTGCCCTACTGAGTGAAAAACAAGAACGTCTTACTTCTTCCCATTCAGATGTGAAGGATGGTGTTCTTTCTGAATTCCGCTTTGCACTGTGTTCAGCAGTTGAAGTTTCACTCCAGTTAACTCTTGCTGTTTTCTCATTTGAAGGGTGGGCAATGAGATCAGAATCCGATTTAGAGACAGTTTTGGATAAATGCTTCTCAATCAAGGCTCTTGGCAAGGACCTTATTCGCCCCAGCGTACAGGCTCTCTCTACTAATCCCCCTGTGTTCCCAACCCACCGGTCCCCATTCCGGGATGCATTTCTAGTTGCCCTGGTGCCAACAATGGTATGGTTTTCCAGTGGGTTGCCTTTTTTGTGAAAAATTGTTCTACTGACCACTTTGGGTTTAATTTTCTTCACCGCAGGTTCTGAGTTGCTTTCTATTGGAGACGGCTTGAAAGGCACAGGACTGTTTGCCAAATGGATTTCATGTTGTCCATCTTCATATTTCTCTCTCTTCCCATAGAGATGAAATGGATTTTCGGGGGACTCACAGGCTGGAGAGGAGCCATGGAGCAGGCCTGCAAATTGCCCAGGATCATATTCCTTGGGGGGGTCGTTGTCCTCCTGTTGAGACAGGTCATCTGCAAAAGGGGAGGAAGGATGTCAGGATCCTTGCTTATAAAGGCCTCCCAATGTCCCAGTGTTCCAATGTCCCGAAACATTTGGGCACCTGGCCAATATCTAGACATTTGATTTACTGCTTCAAAGCAGTACTCTCGCTGTATCAACTACCCTTGTTCTCACAGTGTCACGCATGAAAGAAATGTGTGTGTATGTGCATGCACGTGCATGTGTGAATTTCAAAAGTATGACCTAGCTACAAATTGAGTCACTGCACACTCTACGCTTTGGTCCCCAGCATATATAATTTACATTGGGCGAGCCAAACTGGGAATCTTTACAGCAGAACTTGACTTCAAATCATCACAGTAAGTGAATTGCTGTACACCAAGATATCAGGTAAGATGTTAGACAAGTATCAGATTGCAACCACATGCAATGATAATCCTTGCTTTACTCCTGGTAAATCTCTTCAAAAACAAACTACTGAATAAAAGTATAATGAGAAGTAATTGCAGGTCAGTAATCCAGATAGCGTTACCTTGAATACAAAATTAAGGTCAACTTAAAATTAATTATAGGATTTTGACAAAAAAGATTTATTGAAGCTGAAGATAGGCAAATTAATCAATAACTCAAGATTTTTTTCTACAAATATAGATGCCACCTATTGATTGATACTAAACTATCTTCTTCTTCCCTGAAATGTCCTTTTCAAATTGCTCCCAGTCTTTGATAATGTAATGCTAAAAAGGAAACAAAAGAAAAATCGCTTTATTCCTTCAGAAATGTTATAAGATAAAGCATAAATGTTCTCTAAAATTTTAAAATATATCATGCTTTTTAAAAATGACTATCTTAATTTGTCTTTTAAAATGATAGAATCCTGGCCAAAGACCGGAGCAAGAGTAGTCACTTTGCCTTGCTGCGTGGTCATTTTCATTCATATAAGCTATTTACCAGTATCAAAAGTTAAATTAGCTGAACGTCTACAATCTACACTGCTGAAGAAATCAAAAACATTCAACGTTTCACATAATGACAGCAAATCAAAAGTTAATTTCCTGATCCACACTTTAAAGAAATTAGTTATTATTATAAACCCTAAACACTAAAATTTATAAATTAATAAGGAGCATAGATTAAACATGTGAATTAAGAGTTATATTTATATTATCTCGTTTGATCCACTTAACAATTCAGTGGATTGATTAATAATTATCATGATTTTCTGACACAATAACAGTCTATGACCAGAATATAGAGTTCCCATATTTTCAGCCAGTTGGCTGCCTCAGGAAGCCTCTGTGGATAATTGCCCAAAGGATGTTGCAGACAAATGAACCCTCTTATTGAGGTTTGATGCCAAGTTGCTAAACTGTTCTCTCCCTTAGAGCTGGTAGAAGCAGAAATGTTTCTGGCTTTCCATATGCCTAGACCTCACCCCACTTCCTGCTGGGGTTTGGCAAAGTTAAAATTTCCCCTTACCCCAAACAATCACACCAGCATCTTAGATGGAACAAAGAAGAGTAACAAGAGAGAGGGCCAAGAAATGATGATAAAAAAGGGAACTACCTATACTCAACCAGTATTATTTAAAATCAAATGAATCTTTCCATAAAACACCCCATCTTTAAAAGAAGCATTATCATGTTTTGATAACTCCATTTATTTTCTTCTCTCAATCTTGGGGTAGAATCATTGATGGACAGTGGCGTGAGGCAGCATTGAATGTCCTTTAAAAACTAGTGTATAATCAAAACTATGGACTATTATGTTCAGTTTCAGATGTCAAAGCACTTAACACGGGAATAATGGCTAAGTAGAACTGCCTTGGTGCGTTTCCAAGACAGCAACTCTTTATGGGAGCAGAGAGCCTCGTGCTTCTCCTAAGGAATGTAGTAGGAAGGAGGAATTCTGACGTTACCAAGCTTATCATTTCAATTGAGAAAATGTATTCGGAAGACTGGGAGGTTTGAGTGTGAAAGGAAAATTGAAAAGATTAGCATATGGGGGGGGCAATCTCCTTGGTCTCAGTCAAGAGGTTTCTGAACATGTTCCTTTTCTATGACGAAAGCTTTGCTGGTTTTGTTAGGCTCTGCTGAGTTGGTTCTAACCCATACGAGCCCCACATGCCACAGAACAAAATCATGCCCGCTCCTGAGCCATCTTCAGCATCACTGTCATGCTTCAACCCATTGTGGCAGCCACTGTGTCACTCTGTCTTGTTGAAGGTCTTCTTTATCATTTCCGACCTTCTACTTTATGAAGGACAGTTTCTACCTCTTCCCCACACACAATGGCTGGTGGGTTCCAACCACAGACTTTCTGGTTAGCAGCCGGGTACTTAATCAATGCACCACCTGGGCTCCTTCATGAGGGTTTGGGGGATATCATATTCTTGATTATATTACATACCATGTATATTATTATACAGTATCATATTCGTTACATATGATAAATATAGTATTTATTTATGATGGAATTAAGGAGCCTAAGTGGCACACTGGGTTAAGCATTCAGCTGTTAGCTGAAAGGTTGCCGGTTCAAACCTACCAACTGCTTTATGGTATAAAGATGAGCTATATGCTTCAGTAAAGATTTAGTCTCAGAAACCTAAATGGTAGTTCTATTCTGCCCTATGGGATCCTTTGAGTAGGAATCAACACTATGACCATGGTATCTTAGTTTATTTATTTAAATTACATAATTAAATATATGAATTTTATTAGATTACCATCCACATGTGGTTTGACAAAAATGAACACAATCATGTGTGGTTGTTACATAATCTGGTGTCAATTTGGGGATTAAGAGTGTAGAGGTGGAGCCTAGACTATCAATCAGGATATAGCCAATGAGGCCTCTGTGTGGGCATGGCCTTCTTCTGAGGCTTCTGGGAACTCTTGTATTTCCTCCTTGGAGGCGGGAGATGACACACTCTATCAGCATATGCCCTGCGAGACATTTCTGATGAGAAGCCACATGGAACTACGCTAGAGCCTTGGAACTGGAGAAGCCATGTGGTGACCCTTGCCAGTCCTGAGATGCTTACACCACCAATGGATCCACAAAGACTTACCAAAGGCCTGTGATCTTCCTGCATTTGGCATCATTGCATGTGTTTCATGAGTCTGAAGAGGGCTTTATAGATTGGTATTGGACATATGGGTTAATATTGGACTTAAAAATTTGATCTGAATTCGGCTGGGATGTTTTCTCAATATTCAACTGCTCTTGTATATAAGCTCTTTCTTATACACATATGAGTTTCTCTGGATTTGTTTCTCTAGTCAACCCGACTGACACACCATGATCCTCAAATGGTTCATTTTGTCCAAATCATCTAGCTGAAAATAGTAACTTCCCTAAATAACGGTGAATCTAGTTATAATCTTAGACCTTTGAATAATATTTATTAGCATCCTCATGAGAGTTGGGAACATTTCTGATCAGAGCTTTGAAAGACAATGATCTCTTGCTTGTTTCAGTGGTCAAACTAAAGATCACTCAACTCAAAGAATATATGAAGCTGATATGAAACGTGTGCCTGTGTGGTGGCTTGATTTCAGTCCTGGTTCTAATCTCATGCCTCCCTAATTCCGCACCCCTCCTTGTCTCAGTCCCCCATACTGACTCTGGGCATGGGCACATGCTTTGCCTGGACCAGTGGGCAACAGCAAAGATAACTTAAGCAGGGACTTAGAAAGCACTGAAACAGCTTGCTCTCTGGCTGCGGTTGGAACCTTGGCACAGGGGGAACAAGCCCACGCTGGCCTTTCACCCAGGGAGTAGCCAGCCAACTTCTAGCCATGTGAATGAGGCCATCTAACACCGATGAACCTCGGCCAACTTGCCGATCTCCACAGGTGCATAGGCAAGTGCAGTGCAACTCAAGCGAGCCCCTGACTTGTCAGAATGATGCACTACATAAAGGGCTGTTGTCTTGGGTCATTAAATTTTGGAGTGGTTTGATACTCTGCAATAGATAACTTATTCAGCTTGTATCCCAAGTTTTAAACAGGATATACACTTCAAAGTGAATTCTGGTGATGTTTTTATTTCCACATCTGGAAAATGGTGAGAGAAAAAGTGTTTACCTCTAAGGGTTGCGCACATTAAATGAAATAAAAGGGGTTAAGTACTTAGTGCAATGGTTGTTGTGTACAGTGCATTACATCTGTTTATATTATTATAGCAATACTACTTAATTCAGAAGATTAAAAATGTATTGATTTTACTTGGAACTTTACGAAGATTATTATTTTTGTATGGCAAGCATATGAGATCTACTCCATTGTTTTTGCTTGTCTATCTTAAAAAGTACACTTGGAACGCATTTTGGGGTTTTCTCACTCTTCAGATGAAACTGAGTCAAACTATATAGATTAAACTATTTCCATAACTTGTCTCATTTAATTTCACACTTCTCTTCTGATAAATGGACATTTCATGCCAAGGTGCAGACCTAAATATGTGTGAATTCCAATCAGATAGTTATTTGAAACACCATTAGCATTTCAAAGAAAGATCAGTTTATGTATCCCATAGTAAGTAATCCAATCTCTTTTTATGCATCTTTGCTCCTGATCTTTATCACCCATATAAATACTTGAATAACAGTGAAACCCAAAGTTTCATGTTAAGATGAAATCAAATCATGGAAAACAAGTAATTTCTTCCATTACAAAATACCAGACAGTTGAGGAGTTGGTAGGTTGTTGTCTAGAGGGTTACCAGCGCTGTGTTCTTCTGGAAATGGACCACTAAGCCTTTCTTTTGAGGCATCTCTGCCTCTCTGGGTGCACTGGAACTGCTAAATTTTAGTTAGTGTCATGGGCTTAACTATTTGTGCTGAACATAAAATTCAAACTCACTGCTCTTTAGTGGATACTGACTCATAGCAACCCTATAAGGCCAGAGAACTGCTCCCTGAATTTCTGAGACGGTAAGCCTTTATGTTTTCTAGGAGTCAGGGAACATAAAGCCTCATCTTCCTCCCTTGGAGTAGCTGGTGGGA